GATATTTCATCTTCTTTGGCATTACTGTGAACAGAATAGAGTTCTTGACTATTTTTTCAGCTTGACTGTTGTTGGTAGCTATAAAGGCTACCGATTTATGAGTGTTGATTTTGTAACCTGAGACGCTGCTGTATTCCTTGATCACTTCTAAGAGTTTTGTAGTAGAATCCCTGGTATTTTCCAGGTATACAATCATGTCATCTGTGAAGAGTGAAAGTTTAAGCTCTTCCGATCCTATATGGATGCCCTTGATTGCCTTTTCTTTCCTAATTGCAATGGCTAAAACTTCCATTACAATGTTAAAGAGCAATGGAGACAATGGGCAACCTTGCCTCGTTCCTGATCTGAGTGGAAATGATTTCAATTTAACTCCATTTAGTACGATATTGGCTGTGGGTTTGCTGTAGATGGCCTCTATCAATTTGAGAAATGTCCCTTCTATGCCAGTTTTCTTAAGTGTTCTGATCATAAAGGGATGCTGGATATTATCAAAAGCTTTTTCTGCATCAATTGAGAGAATCATATGGTCTTTGTTTTTTAATTTATTTATGTGATGAATTATGTTTATAGATTTATGTATGTTGAACCAGCCTTGAGATCCTGGGATAAAACCTACTTGGTTGTGGTGTATGATTTGTTTGATGTGTTACTGGATTCTGCTCGTTAGCATCTTGTTGAATATTTTTGCATTAATATTCGTTAGTGATATTGATCTGTAATTTTCTTTCTTTGTTGGGTCTTTTCCTGGTTTGGGTATCAAAGTGATGTTTGCTTCATAGAATGTATTGGGTAGTATTCCATCTTTTTCTATATTTTGGAAAAGGTTAAGTAGTATAGGTACTAGTTCCTCTTTAAAGGTTTGATAGAATTCTGATGTGAAGCCATCTGGTCCCAGGCTCTTCTTTTTAGGGAGATTTTGTATAGTTGATGCTATTTCAGAACTTGATATAGGCCTATTTAACATTTCCACTTCATTCTGGCTGAGTCTTGGGAGGTGACGTGCTTCTAAGTATTGGTCAATTTCCTTTAGATTTTCATATTTCTAAGAATAAAGTTTCTTGTAATATTCATTGAGGATTGTTTGAGTTTCTAAGGGGTCTGTTGTTATTTCATCTTTACCATTTCAGATTGATGAGATTAGCGATTTTACTCTTTTTTTTCTTGGTTAGTTTGGCCAAAGGTTTATGAATTTTATTGACCTTTTCAAAAAACCAACTTTTTGATTTATTGATCTATTATATAATCCTTTGTTTTCAATTTCATTTAATTCTGCTCTAATTTTGGTTATTTCTTTTCTGCTGCTGGGTTTGGGATTGGAATGTTCTTCCTTTTCCAGTTGTTTAAGATGTCCCATTAAGTTGTTCGCTTCCTCTCTTTCCACTTTCTTGAGGAAAGCTTGCAGTGCTATAAATTTCCCTCTTAGGACTGCCTTTGCAGTATCCCAGAGGTTTTGGTAACTCATATCTTCATTATTGTTTTGTTCCCAAAATTTGGTAATTTCCTTCTTGATCTTGTCTCTGACCCACTTATCATTCAGCATAAGGTTATTAGATTCCCTGTTTTTGTATGAGTCTGCAGATTCCTGTTACTGAGTTCAACTTTTATTCCATGATGGTCTGAGAAGATACATGGAATAATTTCTATTCTTTTATATTTGCTGAGGTTAGACTTGTGACCTAAAGTGACTTTAATTTTGGACCAGAGCAAAGTTGTGGGTTGCTGAGATAAGACTCCTGTTTTGCAGGTATCATAATGTGTGACCATAAAGAGATGCATGGTGGCAGGGAAGTATCTGCTATAGGCCCTAAAAAGACCAGGACACCCTTCTGGCTCCCTTGTCATATACATAATTTATAAGGAACCCCACAAACCCATAAGAAATAAAAAAAAAAAATGCAACACATTCTGATTTTTTTTTCCATGACTACATTTTTTTTCCAAATGTCAAATTTCAAGGTCTTAAAAAGTATGGATGTGCTTGCATTCCTAGTGCCCTAAATGCTTGTTTATTTTGTTGGAGAACCCAGTACAACTTCATAGTCTTACTTAGAAGATTAAATGCATGAATGAGTATGAAAGTACTCTTTGTCCCCTACAAATGCATGCTAGTATCATGGTGACTTATAACTGGATATGAGATTTGTTCTGTGTGAATATACATACCTTTAGATGTTGCTTCAGTTTGGTGTGTGAAAATAAGTTGGTATCTGGAATGAATTTTTAATTTAATTTGTATGTACTAATCATTTCAGACCATAGCCATTCTTAAGCCAGCTTGGTTGGATTTCAAGAGCAGCTCCATGAGTTCAGGCAAGTAGCTACATCACCCTGAGCCTCACTGTCCTCACCTGTGAGATGGAGATAAAAACAATATCTTCCTCATGGATTTGTGGTGAGAATCAATGGGTTAATTCATATCAAAACATTTAACCTTTAAAAAGTGTCTGGGACATAATAAGTTCTCAAACCTTAGCTATTGTTATACACTTGTGTTAACTACCCAGAAAGATAGGAAGTTTCTTGGTTATTTTTTGCATTTCAGATATTTTCAATAGAAGTGAAATGGATAAAACTGGCCTTTACTTCGTTATGCAGTTGATTTTCAAGTATTTACCTGATAGTGTTACCCAGGGTGAGTTGAGAGCAGTGTGGGAGGTCTGCTAGAGGCAGACTCAGAGAGTTCAGACACGGTGGCACATGCTGCTCCCATTAACTCAAAGAACAGGCCAGGGCATCACCCAGGCAGGGCAGACAAGCAGGAACCATCCCTGTTCCTCAGGTTGTAAGGCTGGACATTCATTACTCAGTCACAGGCCTGTCTGGCCCTTCCTTCTCTCGTGATTCTCACTTGCTCTCCACCAGCATTGGCATACCTAGCTCCTCTTTGCAATGCTGCATGCTTGCCTGTTCATATTAAGGGAAAACTTTGACCTACCGATTCTTCTCAAATGGCTTCTCAATATCCCTTTATTTCAGCCTCGTTGCATTCCTACCTCCTGATCGCTCACAGCCCTTATTAGCTTTATTGGCTCACCCAACTCAAATTGATTTTATTGAATTTTCTGTAACCAGAGGTAGACCATTTATATATTTATTTTCTTGCATCCTTTTATCTCTTCATTTCAAGCTTTCATTCTAAATTCATCACAGACATGAGGTCCTAGAAGCCTTGATCTTCCTAGCAAATATTTGCCAGGTTGTAATTTTTTATTTGTTGTCAACTGCCAAATTTCAACAAGGCTAATTCTGTTCTAATTTGGTTTGTATAAGCCCTAGTCTTGGTACTTAGAGAAAGTAAATGTTAATTTCTGGTTCTTTCTTTTGTACGTGTTATTCTCTCATCCTTCATGTACTGTGGTTAATTCATTTTTAAAGTAAAAATGATTTGGAGCAGTTAAAACCACATTTGGACCTGATCTTTAAATAGAACACTGAAACACCAGAGAGTTGGTGGAAGAAAGTGCAGGGAGGGCATCTGTTTGACAGTCTATTCTTGTTGTTGTCCTCCTTTTCTTTTTCACTACCCCAGGGGGTGCTCCTGAGTGCTCCTAGCTCCCTGAAGGGGACTGGTAGGGCAGCAACCCTGAGTAACGGTTGCAGTCTGTGCTTGGGCTCTGGTGGTGCCTGCCCCCTGTAGGTGGCATTGTGAATTGCAGGGAAACAATGCCTAGTTTTACTCGTCTGTTTGGACTTCCCCTGTGTTGTGCAGTTGCTGCCTGCAGAGGCAGAATTTCTGATGAGTGGCCAGGATGGGTAGTGAGGGAGTGTGGCAGTGGCTGTTGAGTACGTCATAATAGGTTTTCTCAACCTCTAATTCACTTTCATCATAGGCATCTGATATTTTCATCAGAGGCTAAATTCAAATCCTGGTTCCTCAAATGCTACTTTGCACCAACACATGTCCACATTTCCCTCCTTCGACCAGTCCTGGGTTGTATCAGGAGCTGTGTTGTTTGCTGCTGGCTGCTGGCTGCTGAACCAGCATTTCCTCCTTGCCTTTCCTTTTGTCAGGGCACCTGCAGGTCCTACCTGGCCAACAAGTCTCAAGTCAAGTGTGCCGCCTCCAGGGAGCACCCTGTGACTGGTCTAGTCCAGGGTGCCCCTCAGTACTCTCTGAACTAATCATCAGCACAACACTGCTTGTGGATCAAAGCAAGAAAGGTTCACTGGAACGTAGTTATGTTCATGTGTTTATATGTTATCCACATCTGATTCTGAGACACAGTGGCAGGCTTGAGCAGTTGCCACGGAGACCATATGACCCACACACCTAAAATATTTACTTTTTGGCCTTTTACAGAAAAAAATTTGCTTGACCTCTGTCTTAAACTGAGAGTCTTAGTATGTGTGCCTTTTAGCCTCAACTACAATAAATGCTCCTTATTTTCTGGCTTGCCAAACTCTCACTTTAAAATTCAGCATAATATTTTATTATTTCTCAGGCATTTTGATAACTGAAAAAATCATCTCAAAATTGGAGATTGGGGTAAATCTAGGCAAAGGACAAAGGGAACCCACAGGCAATTTTATTTTCAAGAGTCAACATTTATTTCTTACTGTTGTCAGGTGATTGCAGAAAAGGCAATCAGAACAGTTTTGTGCTAAACCAGTTCCTTCCAAATCAGGACTCTTAAAAGCTACTGAACTTCATTTAAGAATATAAATCTTGGGCGGCGCCTATGACTCAAAGGGTAGGGCGCTGGCCCCATATGCCGGAGGTGGCAGGTTCAAACCCAGCCCCAGCCAAAAACTGAAAAAAAAAAAGTCATATAAATCTTATCACATCTCTCTAAGGATGTAACTGAATTAAAACATCATTTAAATGGAAGCCCAAATACCCCATGCAGAAAGAGAAGATGGGCATTTACTTTAAGAAGCAGCATCTGATGGGACCTCTCAGGTCCCTGCGGTTTTGGCTGCACAGGAGTCTGACTCGCGGCAGCTGTGCAGGTGACGTGATCTCACACTGGGTTCATTTTCGTTTCTTCTCTCCCGCTTAGTGGTCAGCCCATTCCCAGGGTGGAGTACACAGAAGAAGAAACTAAAACTTGGGGCGTTGTATTCCGGGAGCTCTCCAAACTCTATCCCACTCATGCTTGCCGAGAGTATTTGAAAAACTTCCCTCTGCTGACTAAATACTGTGGCTACAGGGAGGACAATGTCCCTCAACTTGAAGATGTCTCCATGTTCCTGAAAGGTGAGGCTTCACACGGCCCGTCTCTTCCCCACCTGTATCCTTGATTGCCTCCCCAGGTCACACGTGGTGGCAATAACTTTTTTTCCAAAAAGGAAAAATAGTGATTTTAAAAAAGTGTGGAACCCACAAGTTCCTGGGGTCACCTGCGGAGCAGGGGCTGTAGGTGGGGGGCTGCTCTCAGCTGGCAACCCGAGGTATGCTGAGGCTCTGTGTGTGGCTGTACAAACACCAAGCCCCAGAGGATATTTGCATGTTCAGCTCTGAGCTTTTTCTGATCTTGAAACTCCTCTGCTGGGCTACATGGATATGGAATGACCTCAGGGGTGTCTTTTTATTTGCTTTGTTAAAAATTATGTAATTGGATGAAGAACTGTTATGAACAATGGTGAACATTTAGGGACTTTCCTCTGGGGTAAATCAGTTAGTCAATTAACCCATCAATCAATTTTTTAAAGTATAACTTGTGTGCCAACGACTGTACTCACTGCTGATGTTACAGTAGTGAACACAGTGGGTCCCAGAGTGACCTCATTTCACATTCTCTGTGTGGTCACTCTCCTGATGGATCCTCTGGGGACAACAGCTGGAAAACTTAGGGTTCTTGTGAGGCCAAGTTTCATGGTTGGCTTCCTTTCTCATCTGTTCTTTGTTGCAGTTACGCCTCAGGTTTTCTGCTCTTATTTCTCTCTCCTTTCCCTTCAAGCCTGCTCCTGTCCTGTGTTCTGCATCCCCACCTGCCTGTCTGTGCTTTATCTCTGGGTAATGCTTTGTTTTGTAGACTCCGCAGCCATGTCTCTAAGCATTCTTCTAAATTCTCACCCATCTTCTTCCCTCCCTCCCATCATTACTCTTTGTATTACTGTCCTATTGTCACTGTAGTAGATTACCTCAAACTTTGTGACTTAAAATAACCCAAATTATTGTTTATATAAATTGATTATAATATCCTGCTGTCTAGAGATTAGAAGTCTAGGATCCAGGACTCATCAGGACTGCTTGCTTCTGGAGGCTTCTGTGCCCTTTCTTTCCCAGTTTGTGGGGTTCCCACACCCCTCGGCTCTTGGCTGCATCCTAGCATCACCGTGAGCCCTCGCTTCTACTGCTGTGTCTCCTCTGATTGTGTGTCCCCTCTTACGGGGACCAGCCTCCTCCTGATAATAATCTCCACATCTCAAGATCCTTAACATCTGCAGAATCCCTCTGGCCGTAGAAACCCACAGATTCACAGATCCAGGGGCACCTAAATCTGACCTTTTCTTGCCATTCCGCTGCTACCATCACATTGAGGTTACCATCATTTTAGAACCTTGATGCCTGTATTTTCTTCCCTTCACTGCCCTGCCCACCACTATCACGTAAACACTACTTTTTGAACCATCACCCAAATCATCACTCTCTTCCTGTTGTCTCTGCTCAGAAACCACTAGTGGCTCCTGTCATTTTCACAGGGATTGGTAAATGTTTTCTGTAAAGGGCCAGGCAGTCAATATTTTAGGCTTAGTGGGCAAAGAGGTAAAGCCAAGGCTACTATGTAGGTATTTACGCAGACATTTAAATTTATCCATTAAAAATAGTAAAAACTATTTTTTGGTCATGGGGTTTGCAAAAACAAGCAGTGAGCTGGATTTGGCCTGCAGGCTACAGTTTACTGGTCTCTGTTCTCTATGACCAAGTCTGAATGGCTCAGCCCCAGGTCTGGATCCTGATCCTGCTTTCCAAGTTCATTTCCTTCAGTGACTGCCCTGCCAGTCCCTCTGCTCTGGGCTTTCTTTTCTTTTTTCTTCTTCTTCCCATTTATCTTTCTCTTCCTCATTCTCTCTCTCTCCTCTTGACAGAGTCTTGTTCTGTTGTCCTGGCTGGAGTACAGTGGCATCATCACAGCTCACAACAACCTCCTGAGCAGCTGGGACTACAGGTGCTGCCACCACACCCAGCTAATATTTTCTATTTTTAGTAGAGATGGTGTCTCACTGTTGCTCAGGCTGGTCCTGAACTCAAGCAGTTTTCCTGTCCTAACCTCTCTGAGTTTTAGGACTACAGGCCTAAGCCCCTGGCCCTCAGGGTCTTTTTCCACCTTTGCTAAGCCCTGTCCCTTACTGGAAAGTTATCTCTTCTCTTTATACTAAAATTCTACCTATTCTTCAAGACTCAGAGCAAGTCCCACCTCCTCCCCTCCACGAATCCTAACTATAGCAGCCACCATGATCTCTCCCCATCTGATTTCATTTTGCATTAGCTGTGTGTCAGGAGAGAGGTGGGCACTGAGAACCACTGGTGCTGTGAGTGCACCGTGGGGGAGGAGCCCAGGGGGGAACATCATCCTCTGTGTTTATTTCTGAGGAAAAGAGATTGAGAAGCACTGGCCCGTATCACGTGACTGGCACCTGATTATATCATACCTGGTGTGGTTGTTTGACTAGATTAGAGATTGAGAAGCAGTGGCCAGTATCACGTGACTAGCACCTGATCACATCATGCCTCCTGTGGTTGTTTGACTAGATTATATTCTCCTGACATTCCTAAGTTTCCCAGAGTCACGTGCATGTTATATATTTCATCTTCATACGTGGAGATCACTTCTTACTGAGTTGTTTCTCAAGCCCCAGTAATTAGAATACTATCTCTTAGTTTTTGTCATATCTGGCCTCCAAATTAGTTTTTTTATGAGGGGCAATATGGTACAGTGGTTTGGAGCATGAATTGTGGAGGCACGATGTCCAGGGATCGAGTCCTGGCTCTGTCATTTCCTGGCTGTGTGACCTCAGAGAGTCACCTCAACCTTTCTATTTCTCAGTTTCCTCCTCTGAAAATGGAGATAATAATTTTGTGAGCTCACAAGGCATTTGGGATGGAAAACTAATTGATATGCTTTAAAATCCTAACGTGTGTGACATACATTAAAGGTAGCAGAGCCTTAGCAATTGTTATCATCATCAGTTTCGTTTTCCTCAGCCCCTGGTGAATTAGATAGGGACCACAGTTTGCGTCATGTGTCGGCAATACTAAGTGCCACTTAAGTGTATGTGTTTTCATGTTTTAATTGACACTGTAAAAATACGTAATTTATTTAAAAAGGAAAACATTTAAAGTAATGTTATCTACAAATTCAAATTTTTTGATACCACTTTCATATATTTTAAAATTTCTATAAAAATAAACCATATGACTATTAAAATGAAAAATGTCCCACTGTGTAGCACTACTCACGTCGCGCGTGTGGGCAGGTAAGGAAATACACTTCTCTTTTGGTGTTCACTGGGGAGCCATCCACAGCAAAGGCTGCGGGAATGAACACCATGTCGTTAGGGTTATGGGTCTGAGGGGGCCTGAGCACAGGGTTGTTTCCGTGTAGGGACTGGAAGTCCCAGAATGGCCTTGTTTTGTAAGCTTACCTGGCTCTTGCCTTTTAAGACCATTTCCAACCATTCTGAGGTACTCTTTTAATGGGCTGAAGTTTTCTGAATGGGAGCCATTACAAGGCTGACATCAGGGTAAGAGCAGCCCTCCTAGCCGTGATCTGAGTGAGATGAGCCAGACACAGGGAAATACCACCCTAGCTCACTGACACGTGGCACTTAGGGAAGTCCAGCACACAGGAGAAGGGCAGATCAGGGGTGACTAGCGGTCGGCAGGTGGGAGATGCTGGTCAAAGGGCACAGTGTTCCAGTTAGGTAGGTGACTAAGGTTAGAGAGCTAAAGTACAGGGTGCTAGCTACTGTTAATAATATTACATTGTATAATGGACATTTGCTGAGAGAGTCGTAGCATGAACACAACACACACACACAGGTAATCGTAAGGAGATAGACATGTAAATTAGCTTGGCTAGCAATAATTTCATCATGGATAGTGAGTCCTCGCCTAGTCCCACTGATAGGTACTTGGAAACTGACTTTAAGAGAAGCGATGCATATGGCTCATGCCTGTAATCTCAGCGGTCTGGGAGGCTGGGGTGAGTGGATTGTTTGAGCTCAGGAGTTGGAGGCCAGCCTAAGCAAGAGTGGGACACTCCATCTCTACTAAAAATAGAAAAAATATAGCTATACTATATATGTATAAACAATTTTTATTTTGAAAATATGAGAAAAGAACAGATCACCACACAGCCCCTTTAAGATAGTCGTGTGTTGTGTGGATGATGATGGTTCCCAAGACTGCAACATCACTCTCACTGTTCTTTGTCTATGTTTAGATAGTTTTGGATACCCACATCCTGAGCGTTGTGTCACAACCGCCTACAGTGTTCAGCACATGACACGCTGTGGAGCTTTGTGGCTTAGGAACAATGGGCTGTATCCTATGGCCTGGCGGGCAGCGGGTCAGGCCTCTGGGGTGTGAGAGTCACCGGGTGACGTGGGCATCACTACAGTCGTCCAGCAATGCATTTCCTAGAATGGATCCCCTTGCTAAGCAATGCGTGACTGAGTATGACATTTTTATAAAATGCATATTTGAACAAAGAGTAGCCCTTCTGTTGTAAGTTTTCTGTGCTTTCATGAGAAGCAAACAGTCAGTAGTCCCCAGGCGGAGAACACTGAAGGCCCACACCCCGAGTGAGCGGCCTAGGGTGACTGCACAGATTGTGTCGTGCTCTTCCTTTGTTTCCTCTCCCCATAACCAGTGGGACATGGAGCACTTTAGTGTACCACTGCAAATCACAGGGATTCATAGAATGTCACAGAACACAGCAGCATGGAGTGAACGACTTTGGTGGGATCCACAACGGGAAGCTGCAGTGTGAACTGATTCCAGGGCACTAGTGAAGGAGGTGCTCGAGGTGTTACCAGCACAGACAGAACGAATGCCTTGGTTTGTCGCTCAGAAAGACACCAGGTGATGCTTGGGAAGTGTCACTTTAGGTTGTAATCTTCTCTGTGTTTGAGATATCTTATCGTAATAAATCCCTCAATAATTTTTTCCCTTTTCTTTTCATTTTAGTGACTGTCTTGTTCACTTGGAAACCATCATTCGAGAGTGTGTTTCAGTCATCAGAAACCCTGAACATGCTAGTTGTTAAAAAATATGCATTATTCACTTGTGAGGAGTTTTAGGGCCTTGATTACTTTGTTTCTGGAACATCCTTATAAATGGTAGCAGCCCCACTCAGACCCTCAAGTCCTCCTGGACTGATATTTCATTGGCTCCTCCTGTTGCTTCTCTAGAACGGTCTGGCTTCACGGTGAGACCGGTGGCTGGATACCTGAGCCCACGAGACTTTCTGGCGGGACTGGCCTACAGAGTGTTCCACTGTACCCAGTACATCCGGCACGGCTCAGACCCCCTCTACACCCCAGAACCGTAAGTGCTTATGCTCAAAGCCCAGGCTGCAGAGAGCCCAGCATGCTATTAAGTGGCCCCCACTATCCTACTTGAAAGTGACTCAGGCCTACTTTTACCTCCAGAGCGATTTCCTCTTTAGAGCCAGTGAGGGTCACAGCACTCACCTGGGGGAGGATCAGACTCCTCAGCTGGGTGGTCAAGGCCCCTGATAGTCTAGCTCTGGCTCATCTAACTTCATCCTAAGACAGAATCTTCTGCTTGGCCACATCTGCATTCTCCATGAGGAAGAGAAGGCGTGGAGGGATAAAGTAAACATTGACCCACCATCAGGGCGGCCCTCCTCTCTCACTGGGAGGCCCCTCTCACGTGAAGCAGGTTCACGTACACTGGAGCAAATTATCACTAATCCCCTCTCTTCTCTTTCGTTCTTTTCTTTTTTTTTTTTAAACTTCAGATTAATATGAAGGTACAGGCAAATAGGTTATATTGTTTGTGTTTGTTAGGTAAAGTCCAAGTTGTAGTTGTGCCCCTCCCCAGGAGGGGTCCGTGTACCCTTACACTGTGCCCACTGGGTGAGAGCACACCAACCCACCTCCCTCCCTGACTCTCCCCACTTGACTTACATGTGATTTTCTCGTGTGTGGGTTTGTTCATCTATTGGCTTCATATTAGCATTGAGGACATTGAGTACTCACTTTTCCATTTTTGTGATATTTTGCTAAGTAGGATGTTCTCCAACTCCATCTAGGTAAATATAAAAGATGTAACGTCCCATATTTTTTATGGCTGAGTAGTATTCCATGGTATACCTGAACCATAGTTTATTAATCCATTCATGAGTTGATGGGTACTTGGGTTGATTCCATATCTTGGCAATTATGAATTAAGCTGCACTAAACATTCTAGTGCAAATGTCTTTATGGTAAAAAACCTTTTTTCTTCTGGGTAGATGCCTAGTAATGGGATTGAGGGGTCAAACAGAAGGTCTAACTTTGAGTTCTTTGCTCTCTCATCTCTTCCTCCCTCCCAAGCTCAGAGCTCTGTGCTGTGTTCTCCTGGACATTCCTCAAATCCTGCCCATCCCCTCCAGATATGTATGAGGCTTGTGATTCTTCTCTGGCTCTCTCTCATCCTTCCTGGAGAGAGCCCTCCTTTAGGGCTCTTGTCTGTTGTCTCTTGGATGATGGATGGGGTTGAAGTGCAGAGAGAAGCTCAGAGGTGCTTCTCAGAGATGGTGCTGTGCTGACACCTCTCTGTCACAGGTGGTGGGGAGGGTCTAAGGCAGGACACCCCATGTACTGGTCATTTGGCCTCATCACACATGAGGCTACGTAGTCTCTAGGTGTGAAATTCCCTGTGTTATATTTCTTTGTATGCTTTTGAAAAATATGACAAACATTTACTGAGTGATGACTATGTGCCTGGATTATCTGGGAAGGACACAGCTTCCTCATCCTCTTGGATGAACGGGGCTACAGAGGTTGGCATGTAAACAGATGGTCGGGGTCACGGTGGCATGTGTGGAGGCTGCCATGAAGATGGTCGGGGACACGGTGGCAGGTGTGGAGGCTGCCATGAAGTGCTGATAGCTGATAAGAGATGACTAGTGTGGGGAGCAAGGAGGAGTGAAGTGTCCTGGGTGCAGCTTATTTGGATTGCGTCTGGACAGCCTCTCAGGAGGTGATGTTTGAGCAGAGACCTGAATGTGAAGATCTTCAGGGTGGAGGATTTCAGGCTGAGAGAACAGCAGAAGCAGAGCCCCGAGGGTGGGCACTGTCACGGGTTCTGTGCCCCCACGGGCTCCATCCAAGGGATGCCTCTCCCCCATTTTATCCTACTCAAGGTCATTTTACCAAACCACTCAGGTCATCACTTGGCTTATAATGCTGTTTTCAATACACTTAGGATGAATGGGTTGCCAATGTCTTTACTGGGGAGCAGAGAATCCTCTGAGGTTCAAGCAGTTAAGTAGCTGATGTCAGCAGAAGTGGGCTAGGTGGACAGTGAGACTCTGGAAGCCCTCCTCCCCCTCCTAGACTGGCCATGAGGCTCCTCCCCTTCCCAGACTGGTGTGAGGCTCCTCCCCCTCCTAGGCTGGTGTGAGGCTCCTCCCTTTCCCAGACTGGTGTGAGGCTCCTCCCCCTCCTAGGCTGGTGTGAAGCTCCTCCCCCTCCTAGGCTGGCATAAGGCTCACTGGCCAGGTGGGTCTCTGCAGGGTCCTTACATTGCTTTTTCAGCTCTTTTCAGTTTCCCTGAAAGTGTTTTCAGGGTAAACCAAGCTTACTTATAGGACTCAAGACATTTGGAAAAGAAATGCTTCTTGGAGTGGAGTGAGTGCTCAAAGGGGCACTGTCAGAGTTAGAAAGGCAATCTCTAAATCTGGCCCAGAGGGTTTACAAATGGCCCTGTTTACAAATAGCAGGCACTTTGTTAGTTCCCTTTGAATAACTGGCACTCTGGAGACCTGTGATAGTGTGCCAAAAGGTATGCAGAGAGAGAGAGGGGGTGAAGAAATGAGATTTAAGCCACAGAGGTCAATAAAATTTGGGGATAATGTGTTACATTTTTACTAAAGTACTTTTAGCCAATTCATTCAGCAAACATTTATGTGCAGTGCTAGCAGAGAGGTGCTGCAGATGCAAAGATGAATAAAATAGTAGCTACTTTTTTTTTTTTTTAAAGCAGTTCACATTTTGGAAGGGGAGATGAAAACATAAATAACCAGCAAAGAGTATAGTCAGGGGTATAATTGGGATGTGTACAAAGGGCTGGAGGAGCATGGAGGAGGGAGAAGTCTTGAAGGGCTTTTCAGAGAGGTGCAAACTGAACAGGGCCATGAAGGAGAGAGAGGAATTTCATTTCTGACCAAGACAAGGAGGGGTGAGAAGGGAAGGCTTTCCAAATCAAGGAAACAAGGAGTGCAAGGCTGTGGAGGGTTGGAGCAGGCATACGCCAGCCAGGTTTTTTTAGATCAGAGTGGCCAAGGCACAGTTTATGTACAGTTATTAGAGATGCAATGTATCTTCAGGCCATATTATAATTAGACATTTGTTGAGCCAGGACATGAGGACTTAATCATGTAGGCAAGGGGAGCTCTCCAAGGTTCTAAAGTGCAATCAGATATGTTTAGTCCTATTTGAGAAAGATGGCTGGTGTGTGGACGGAGGAAGTGTGGAGAAGGAACAAGATAAAAACCCATCTGGGAAGCTCCCATTCTATCCAAGGAACGTCGTTTATAAAGTGTGGGGCTAGAAAAAATCAATGGTATAGTATGAGGCACCGTACTATTGGAAATGGAGTTAATATCTGGTGACTAAAATAGGTGGTGAGGAAGAGGGGAGAGTCCCTAGGATAATGCTAAAGTTTTTACATTGGGCAACTGAATGGAAAATCATTTCCAGTAGTGACTGAGAATAGGAGGAGACTCAGGCTTGGAGGGAAGCAGGAAGGAAGGAGGGAGGAAGGAGGAGGATTTGGATTTGGGGTGTGCTATCCTTGAGGGGCCCATGGGTAGGACCTCTAGGTGCCAAAGCCCCTGGTAGCTAGAAATAAGGGTGGAGAGATTGGAAGTGAATTTAACGTTCTCAAAATAGACTTGAGTGGTTATCCTTCTTCTACACCTCCTGGGACTACACAGGCCAGACGGGACTAAGTCAGAAGGTGGAAACATGGGATCTGCTAACTTGGGGTTGTTTTATAATTGCTATTTTTTTCTTTCATATCATTCATTTGTTTGATTGAATTATTAAATAATAATTAAAAATTATTATTTTAAGTAGGTAATACAAGCACATGGTTCTGCTAAAAGGAAAAAAAATTAGCCAAATTAAATTTAGCAGCATTTAATTGAGCAAAGAATGATTCCCAGATTGGGCAGCTACCTCCTGCCCCAACCAGGATAGGTTTGGAGACACTTGAGCATGGCTGCATGGTCAGAGAGGATTTACAGGCAGGAAAAAGAAAGTGATGTACAGACAGAAGTGAGGTATGGAAAGAGCTGGCTTGGTCACAGCTGGCCCTGGCCTTATTTGAACATAGTTTGAGCAGTTGGCTGTGTGGTTGAAACTTGGTGATCAGCATGATAGTAGGTAAGAGTTCGTTTACACATCCAGTCAGGTCAGAGTTCACTATGCACACAGCCACCTTTAGGCTGAACTTAAAATATGTTGCAAGACAGCTTTGGGCTAAACTTAATTTAGCAGTTCAGAATTCAAAGAGTACTGAAGGTGGCCCCATGAATGGTGAGCTCCTTTCCATCCTCTGTTCCCTTGACATCTGGCTCCTTCTTTTCAGAGGCCCCCGCTGCTGCTGGCTTCTAGTGCATCCTCCCAGGAATTCGCCACACAGGCCACATTTTCTGTAAAGACCCCTCTAATCCTTGCGTATTGCAAAGTCCTGAGTCCCTTCTCAGCCACTTTGTTTAAATCTGCCGGACACTTTTCTGGGAGGACTGTTTCCCACCCAAGTCCTTTTGCAGGCATTGTCTTTGTCAGGAAATCCCCTTTCCTCAACTGGAAAGCAGCGGAGGGTGGATTCTCCAGCTCCTGATGTTAAATGAGGCTGCTGTTGGGTGCTTCCAAATAACAGCCTGGCTTTCAGTTGTGGAACTGGTGGAGTCGAGGTGGCACTAATGAGGCACAGGTGAGCCCTGAAGACCCGGGTGGAAGTGAGAGTGAAAGCAGCAAAAAGACATTATCTGAAAAAAAATTTTCTCTCACCTTTCATGCTAGGAAGGATGTTATGCTGTCACGGCTTTTAGCACACATTGGGTTTTAAAGATGTCTTTGGCTTGTGTATAATTTTATAATTTTAAAGGCACTGCATTCTCTAAATCTGGCCAGACAATGGGATTTGAATTTAAAAAGCAAATTTGACTAGTTCCCTGGAGAAAGTTTCCTGGCCTGGAAGAAGGTGGAGAAAGTCCCGGCAGTCAGTGACTCCTGGTTTTCCTGGTGGGAGGAGTTGCTTTTCCATGTGATCACATGTGAATTACAAGGTCAGGGACCACAGAAGGGGGA